AAATGTATGACCTTGAATCATATTCAAGGTCACAAGGAGCAAATATGTTCAAAATATTTAAACAACTTGTTCTGAATAACCAAAAGGCTCAGGATGTTGATATTTAGTCAGTAGCATGCTGGGATCAAGGACTACTATGTTTGCTAAAGTGAATGACTTTGACGTATATGAAAGGTCACAGGGGTCAAATTTGTTTAAAATCTTTAAACAACCTCTTCTGAATAACCATGGGTCCCAGGATGTTGATACTTTGCAAGTTGCATCCTGAGATGAAAGGCTATAAAATTTGTTCAACATAATGACTTTGTTCGACTTTCAATCACAGGGGCTTTATTTTAAATCACTTTTAAGGTTACAAGTGTGATATTTATACCAGGTGAGCGATGCAGGCCCATTGGGCCTCTTGTTATTCTTATTTTTTGTTTATTTTTTTATTTAGGTGCAACAATACCTTATCGTATTCCATGCGCAATAACCAACGATAAAAGCCCGGTCGTAAATGGGGTTTGGTGGCTCTAAATTTTGTACTGGTATATGTATAAATGTAAAATATGAAAAATGTATATCTTTGTACTGTTGAAACAGAAAGGGAGGCGTGTAAACCTCTTAATTTTAGAATTTCAAAATTTAGAGACGCATTATCTTGCAACGCACCTTTAGAATTTGACTAGGAAAAATATGAAAAACATGTTTATCCTAAGCATATCATTATTCGTTATAGACATTTGCGGATTAAGATATAGTGGAGGATTGGGTAATTTTCAACAGCTTTTTAGTATTTAATAGTTTTCTATTGAGCATATGCTTTCATACCAAACTTCAATTATTACCATCTTGTGATTGTTTGTTGATTGTTGAGTGACGTATTTTACACGGATTATAGGAGTCAATAAACGGGTGTAGATGAACATAACACACACATGTAATTGCACCTTTTTATAATAAATACTGTAAGCCAAAACTGATATTATACTGAAACAGACCATTTTGTTATATTTAGTACGTTTAATGACGAATAAAATCTGCTCGAGGGATATACAATAATATCAAGTGCATGAGCTAGATCGGTAGTAATTTTGATTTGATGCTTTTGGTGAAATTATTTATTGCAAATATTATTTTCAACCCCACCTATATATGACCCGTCAATATGTAGATATTAATATATAAAAATATCTTATGTTCTGAGACTTGAGATTTGGTTGTTTATTTTTTACATAAAATAATATATTTCGATTTCAAATGTTTCCCAAAGAAAGCTGGAATTTCCCCCGTACATTACCTCATTTATGATAAATGCGAATTTTACTTAATGTATCTTTCCTGATTGGAGTCCCCTAAACACGCCCTTAGTGCAATTTATTTATCATGTAGTAAAACACTTTCACACCCATTAACGAAGAGGAAATCTTAAACTGAAGGGGTTGAAGAAAGGGCAATAATTGCACCCAGCACATAATATATCTTGAAAATAAAAACAAGGAACAATTTTACATTTAATACTTCACGATTTCTATTTTTTCTTGCCGAAAAGTCAAGTTAGTGCCAACATGAAACTAATAAAGATATTATCCTATTATAATACTCACACGGAGCATCCGATATATTTCGTCCACATCTTCCTCACTTGCGCGTCTGATGTTGAACTCCGACATTGTCCAGTAGATTGATATCGTCAGACTCAATACAAAATGGTATACTACGCTTTGCTGTCACCTGGTTTGCTTGTCCACACCACATGTTACCTCTTTATTGTCACACATTGTGATGTAATATGCATAAAAACATTTAATCGATACATCGCTTTATATTTAACACTTTAATATTTTTTGACTCATCATACACACTTTCATCAATTTAAACAGTATATACTTAACCTGTAAGTTTATTTATCCTTCATCTAGAAAAGGCGAATGTGATGCAGGGTAAAAATAGTCATTCTTTAAGGCGACGACGATCTCCTTGATCAATAGAGCTCTTTTTCCTAGTATTTTATTTCAACGCTAGAAATAAGTAGCCGATTTTTTATAGATGTTTGCTCCAATATTTCCATGCCCCAAGGGATTCACTATAAAAACATTCTAAATCAAATCATACTGTCCGATTACATATATTTATGTTCAAACTGGCGACAAAGTTAAAATCCAAGTAAAGTTCACTCTGAAATGAAAAATCAACTTCAGAATGTTGCGAGACTTAATAATGTCCATTAGACAAAATAGTCCAACGTTTCATACAAAGAAATCAGAGATGATATATTTAGTGTTACATGTTAATTACTTACATACATTTCCAAGCCTAATTTTCAGTTGAGAAAAGAACGAAATATTGCACACCTATAAATAACCACAATGAACATTATGTTTATAAATAAGAAATTATATTGGGTATTCATTTTTAATTGTGCCAGCCCATTCTTTATCATAGCGACTGAGATTAGTTCTCACAAAGTTACTATCGAAACATGCGAAAGGAACTAAACGTTTGTAATCCGTCCGTTAGCCAGTCTGCCGCCCGACACTTTGCCCGATGCATAGCTCATAAACAGTGTCACCTTCAACCTCTAAGGATCAGGTGAGTTTATGCCATGAGTCTGTCGTCCATCAGGATTCTTGTGTGATTCTCGTCATGGATTGACCGAATGCACACATGGTGGCTCTCTATGAGACTAGAAAGGATCAGTATAGTTGTCATTTCGTCTGCATTGCGATGGCAATATTGAAAGATTATGTTTGGTTTTATTGCCATTAAGGGTCCATGGAACAGCTGAGGTCGTTCAAGGACGTGTCTTCATGTGTTTTATATATGTGTGTGTGCAGACACCCGCTTGATAGACTATAAGCTAATCTGATAACAATTACTGATATTAATCACTATTGTTTGCCCGGATGTTAGCACGCAGGGGTCTTAATGAGGGAGGAAACCGGAGTACATGGAGAAAACCGACGTGGTCGGGCAGATGACCGCATACTTCTTCACGTCCAATCGGGGATTCGAACCCGGACGGCTTGGGAAGGAGATTGCGCTATCAATTGCGCCACCCGACCAGCTGAAACCCGTATGTTGGTGTATGTCTCGTCTTGTGACAAAACGGGTCTAATACTGACTTAATAGTGCCACTCCGCTACAATATCATGCCGGAGACATCCAGAAGAAGAGTATTCCACCCGGTCACATTATACTGACAATGGTTTAATCATTTGTTGCGATCAACTTAACTGCTGAACGTTTAGCAGGGCATACCAATTACCACTTTTATTTGTCCACAACTGGGTGCAAAACCCTTTGCCTTTCACACTGGGGCTATCGGTCAACACTTAAGTAGAAAAATGAGGTATTGCAAAGCAAGCGTTAGGGAAACAACGATATTCTAGGCAGAGGAGAGATAATATAAAATTTCCAATTATTGTAAAGGGGACAGGAAGAAATCATTTTGGTCGCTTTTGTGTCCAAATATCGAGTGCACAGACGCAAATATTCAATTCAGCAGGAGGTTTCTCCATAAGTTGCAACATGCAGTGGGAATCAGCAGGTATATTCTCATTTTAATACTCGACCTGCAGGACTGTATTGGTTGATCATAACGTCATAATTGAATATTGTCACAATAAAGCGTGATCTGTTCGAATTTGCAACTTTTCATGTATACTTTCTCAGAAAGAGGAAGTTTAAATTAATGAATGGTTATAACAGATCTTGATGCTATGAATTTGTTTAACTAATACCTCACTAACCCACTCTCATACAACAATTATTACTGACACCTCTCATTTTATAATGCCAGCGACAAACAATATATGGACATACTTTGACATTGAAAATGAGGGATATACAGGCTATATCTAAGATAGTATGTTTTGTACCCAATACATTACTTGGCCTCACAGCAAAGAACATCACATTTTGAAGTTAATTTGTTCATTTCAGGGTAAATCGTACATTGTTTTACACTACGTTGCCAGTTGGAAAAATAAAATGGAGAATACGAGATAGAAGGACTGTAATTTACACTGCATCACGTTCGCGTTATCTTCATTAAGGTGCTGGGAATAAAGTTACAGGTATAAACACAGAGGTATCCATCATTCGAAGCGGTTTGCTTTGTCTCGCCATGTAATGCAGGGAGTTCTCGAAACGCAACTTCATTCAGAAGAGTGTTTTCTGTGTTTCATTTCAAAATATGTTATTAAATAAACCAGATTTAATGGGATTTGGCAACAGGAAAAGCCTATAAAAGCCTTCTCCCAGGAGGTCCATCTCAAACAATAGCAAATAATGAACTATGAATATTTACAAACGTGGTAAGGAACATAAAAATTAGATCAGTATCAATGAAGATAGGAGACACCATACATACACGCATTTTCATTTCAACAAATTTTATTGCAAAAAATATGCAAAAGGAAATGGGATCAGGCAAAGCCTATATAAGCCTTCTCCTTACAATTTCGGTATGGTATATTATGTACAGTCATTGAAATCATCAAACAAACATATAAACAATTCATATAGTGTGTCTCCATGTCCCCACCGTACCAGGTATGGTTCTGATTAAACAAATCTTTTAGTGTTGATAATGTACTCTGATATACATTGTAGTACAAATGCATTGGTTTCTTCATCACATTCATGACATCCATGAAGTAATGAGCTTATATTAAAATGGTCAGGGGTTATATCTTGGTTAATCAGCTGATTTCTAAGTGTCAATCGAGAATGGTTAAATAGAGGACAGATAAAAACATAATGATCCGCAGTTTCCTCACCAAGGTTCCATGTGCATATTGGAGAATCTTTTAAATGGTCAAGAAAAAGGTCAGAGTTCAAATTGCTGGCTTCATTTCTAAGTTGACACATAATTATATTTATATTTCGACTGCCATCTTTTGCAAACGTTTTTGTTGTAGCCGAGACAGTTTCATTATTTTTGAAGAGTAGAGCTTTGAATTGTGATAGAGAGTTTACATTGGATACATCAAAAACATTAATAGCGAATGAGTTGAATTCCCTAAATGTACTTGGAAAATAGCTACTATAATAGCTTACTGTTCTACATATTGGAGTGTTGAAATATCTAGTCGTCCTTAATGGATATCTTTCATTTTCATTGTGATATATAAATGGTTGCACTATATCTTTCAGATGTTGCGGGGGCATGCCATGAAGTATCTTAAACATTAATATTAATAAAACAATTTGTCCTGAGAGTGTTCTTTATATAATTTATGACGAGAGGTACCTCTGCGCAATCCTGTTATGACTCTAGCAGCTTCTAAATGAACAGACTCAAGCAGTTGTTTAGATTGTTCCGTGCAATTGTCCCACAAGACGTCTGCATCATCCAATAAAGGCAAAATATATGTTTTATAGATCTTTAAAAGAGTTTTCCTTGAGACTCGTTTTTTAAGTGATTTTAATATATTTACCCTTTTAAACGCTTTTTCATATATATAATTTACATGGTGAATCCATTTACCATCTTCAGACAAAATAACACCTAGATATTTGTGAGTACCCAGGGATTGAAATGGGCTATTGTTAAAAAATATATCTGGATGTAGCGTGTCTCTTTTCCTAGTAAATATCATTGATACAGTTTTTGAAGGGTTGAAATTAATATCCCACTTTTTACCACAAGTACTTATATTTGAAAGATTTTCTGAAATGTTAGTAGCTATTTCAATATTGTTACTTTCTATTATTTCACTTAAGGATGTATCATCAGCAAACAATTGTATGTCACTAGTTACAATATCGGCTATATCAGTAATATATAAAAGAAATAAAAAGGGATCTAAAACAGATCCCTGTGGAACTCCAGCGTTTACAGATTTATAAGTTGAGAAAATGCCCTCGGTTAAAACACGTTGTTTTCTATCTGACAAATAATTTTTAAACCAACTTAGCAACTTTCCTTTAATACCATAGGATTCTAATTTGTATAATAACCCTTCATGCCACACTCTATCGAGGCTTTACTTATGTCACAGAATACAGAGAGGATTTCTCGTCCTTTATCAAGGGAATCCATAATCATATGATATAATGAAAGAAGTTGATTCACAGTTGAATCTACTGGAATAAAACCTGACTGGTTCTTAGTAATGATTTCATATTGTCGCAAATAGTTATGAAGATATTTAAAAATTACTTTTTCTATTATTTTGCTAAAGCAAGAGGTAACTGAAATAGGAAGATAATTAGAAACATAATTTTTCTCACCCTTGCCTTTATAAATAGCATTAATGTTTGCAGCTTTCCAGGGCAATGGGATTGAGCCGGTATCCATGGTTTTATTACAAAGGAGGGTAAGAGGAAGAGTGATAGAAGGTGTTAGTAGTTTTATAAGTTTTGGGACCACTCCATCAGAACCAGCGGGCTTCTTTTCATTTAAAGTATAAAGTTGATCTTTAATATCCTGTTGGGTGAACTCAATGCTATCAATTACAAAAGGAAAATCAGGAGGGGAAAGGAGAGGATCAAGATCATTTGATGAAGTAGAGATATAAGAAAAGTAAGTATTTAGACATTCTGCCTTATCAAATGGATTTTGAAGTAAAGAGCCATTATCGTTTAAAGGAGGGACACTGGTTTGCTTATTGTCGGTTTTTAACAGAGATTTCGCTACTTTTCACCACTTGTGGTAAGCTATTGCTATTAAGGGAGGATTCGAGTTTCAAGAGGTATTGTTTTTTTTTGTAAGTCTAAATAAATCAATTGTTTCATTTCGAATTAATCTATACCTTTCCAAA